TTTGCCTCAACTCCCTAACAAAGAGATCAGGATTGTGGAACACAAGACACTGAACCTCAGTATTAACCCTTTGAGATGTCGAGCAGTCAAGAGGTCACCCTGATTGTGGATGATGTGGACAGTAGCCGCGCGTCATTCCTCAATGGATTCCACGTCATTGAAGATCCAGCCTTGTATGGTGGAAGGGCTATATTTTTGAACAATAGTGACCACGTTCCGCGCCTGGATATGAACATGTCATTTCACGGTGCGTCTTGTGCTGTTAATGGTCATGGGATCTATTTAATTTATGGTATCCCCCCCAAGGGACATCTATTTCATTTTACGGAATCGTTGGAGGGTGCTCGGCGACATTAGATCGCAACAATCAAGGATTCTGGCCGGTACTAGGTAGCGAGTTGACCGTCTGGTATCAATCACCACCACTCCCTGATGATGAGCACAATTTTGTGGCATCCAACTATGGCACAATGTATATCGATTATGCCCTTGTTAAAGTTGGAAGTACCACCGACCTGTCCACAAAAATCATCTTCGTTGATGACGCCAAAATGGACGAAATTTGGTATACTGGACAATGGTGGTCTAGCGTGGACCACACATTTAGTCATGCATCTCAAATCCCCCTCTCGGAGTGGCGCGCTGCGAATCGTACTGCTAGTTACAGTAACACAACCGGGGATTCCTTTGAATTTCAATTTGCAGGTATATTATTTATCAGCTACGCTGCAGCAATCTGAGCTCATCCAACAGGGACTTCAATATCTGTATATGGAATCCTTCCTCCAGCACAGACCTTTACCCTGGAATTTATTGTGGATGGTACCGTTCAACGCAGGGAATTCTCTCAGGAAGATGCAAACGACTTCGATGACGCTATCAATTACAATTTCTATAAGAATCCGACACTCAGTCCAGGAAATCATACTCTCATAGTAAATGTTTCAAACATTCTTGAAGGCTCCACGTTCTGGTTCGACTATATCACTTACACGCCTTCCTTCTCTTTCATTAACGAGAAGCCAGCCTTTATCCGGAGTTCCGAGGATCAGCAATTATCTCCACATTCAAAAGCACCGAAATCACTACCCATTGGACCAATGGTTGGCATCATAATCGCTGGGCTTTTGATGGTGACTTCAGTCGGGTTTTTTTACTATCTTAAAAGGAGATCCTCATCGAGGAAAGAAGGTGAGTACACTCCGTAGCGAGTCTCTCCCCATATTCCATTCAAATGACATTATCTTAGCGGAGATCGCATCAAGGTTCGAGCCTTTCACGGCCCGTTTCGTGGCGGATTCGAAGCTAAGACCGACCAAATGGAGAGAGTTGTTTCCATCCGAAGATGTGGCCAGCTTACCCGCACCGATTGATGACGAGAGTACCCATCCTGAACCACCGCGCATACAGGTCGAAGTTCAACAACGAAACGACGAGATAGCCTCGCTTACAGTCGAAATGCGAAACTCGGACAGCCCTACTCGCAGCGAGCTGTTTGCCAGAATCAGCATGCTCACAATGGAGGTCGAAAGGCTGGTGCGCGAGAACGCACCGCCGGAGTATGGGGGAAGTGATGTTGGTCAGAGGCCGAGTCCGTGCTCGGGAACACTCCCATCTTACAATGATGAGGCATAGTTTTATACGCGGCATACTCAGAAAGGAGCCAGAATACCCAGTGTAAGTTCAAATCTAGCCAATTGGCATTTATTTTCTGATAGTCTAGATACAGTATCGGGGATATGAAAGCATTTCTGTTGGAATAAGTATACGATGAAAGTGAATTATTTTGTTCTTGAATATTTGGTCATGAGCTACGTATATGCGCCTGTATACTCCTTGTACAATATGCTCTTTGTATAAAATTCCATTTCATCGAACACGCTGCAGCTAACATACTAAGCAACGAAGCACTTTGTTTCTCAGCGGCCAACATGAACATCCCGTACCCGACGCGTTGAAGCTATGCAAAACTAAAAAGTGCACAAATATAAGGACCTATAACTGGTCTGGCTTCGCTCGAATGCTGGACGGGTTCATCCATAGGTACAGCTATAGGCCCAGCAAAAGCGGGATTTTGACTTCAAGGTAGTCGACCTCACGTATCCACCGTTGCAAGAACAAAAAAACCGAACACTGCTCTCTTTCTGATTCATGGAGATCGCAAGTCACCCATCCAAAGAACAGCACGGTCACCAATATCCGCATCTTCTGCAAGCGGAAGGGAGCAACAATGATGCATGCCCTCGAAGGAATACTTGGAAGTCATATTGCCCTGCTCCGGCGACGGATAGCTACTGGTATGAAAGAAAGCGAACAGAGCGGCGGTAGCACCATAGACAAAGATGATAAACACCACGTTGGCATAACGCTGTACCAAGTAAACTCTCGACAACGAGAGCGAGAAGTTGGTGATTGTCGAGCTTGGATATCGAGCAGAGTTCGGAGAAAAAAGCAGGGTAAGGTGGTAACAGTAGAAGATGTGCCCAAAGAACTGTGGATTCAGTAGCGAGCTGTGATATAGCCCTCCTACGAGGAAGTACGAGGTCAACAACCATCCACAGATACCTAAAGAGTGATACTCACCATACGAATCTACAACTCGAGGCTGAGTACCAAATCACAATTGCAAAGACAAAGAGAAGCACTAATTTCGACCGGAGTCCGGTGAAGAGGTGCGATAAGCTGGTATCAGTATAGGCTACACCCACAAACGGTTAAGATATGTGTGGAATAATACAGTATGCGAGGTAGGGTGGAGCGATGTAGACCACATAGGGCGCTACAAGAAAACGCCTGGGTAGCAGCAATCCGTAGACCCCAAAAGAAAGACACTCGCCCAATATTCCGAGAACATGGCAAAGGCTACATTCTTGCCTTCCCCAAAGCCGATTCACACCCAAAAATCATCGCTTCTCGCTGTTCACCAACGGAAACACCCCGTACGCATGTGACAAACACCCCAAACCAATACGAGTGAACATTACCCGGCATTTCCTCCGCACAAGCACCGTCACGCCTTCGTTTGTACACCTCATGGTAATTATAAGGTACGAGGAAGACGCATGTTTCTGGAACGTGTCGTGTGAAGGGTAAATACATCGGCGATAGCATCACAAGAACCCGAGCGGTATCCGGAACATCAAAGAAGGGAGAAGAGACGATAACCAGAGGGGAGTATACGCCAGAAGTTGTCGATAACAATAACCCATGGTTTGAGAGTAAAGAACCTACAACGAGGTTGAATACCAATCCGAACATTCCCATTACTCAATCACCGGAATCACTCCCGACAATAGCGTCCAAAACGCCTTCCCTCTGAACAACCAACACCACAACAGGACGACATCAGCAACCCAAAGAATGACCTCAAATGTCGGACAACTCGCCGCCGGAAAATGAAGCTTGTCTTCGCCTCATAAAGAACACTGGTTTCGCAGAAGCAACAACGAAGAATAGAGGTGTCTGACTGCCGAAGAAGAGATGTAGAACGAGGAATGACGTCGAGAAACAAGGGGTGTATGGATGAGTGCTGCTTGAGGGTACGAGGACCAAAATAGGTTCCATTCACTTCCTTGGGACTTGGAATAATAACGCCGAACAGGGTGAACGCACTTTAACACACCAGGAGTGTCAAAATCAAACTACAGTCACGGAGAATAAGAAGAGGTACTCACATTGTCATTTCTTCATTCATCCGCACCAGCCTACACCGACGATTACACGGCGTCTATCAGCAAGTCTTCTCGATCCTCTTTCTCCGTCACATCCTATCCCCAAAAGCGATCGATGATTGGGGCGTATCAGCGGGCGAAGAAGAGCGTGTTGTTGCAAGGTCGTGGTGTGAGATGGGAGGACATGCGAAAAAAGCAGCAGCAGGAGCTGGGGTAATCGTTACACCACCACACCATGAAGACGGGTGTAGTACTGGGAAGGGAATGGGATATTCCCTGTGCTCCTTTCGTGTACCACCCAGATTGACACCAGCCGTATCGAGGGAAGGAGGCGGCTGGTAATGCAGCCAAAGATGGGCTAGAGGAGGATAGACCCAGGGGTAACGACCTTGCAGCACCATCACCATGCTGGCGAGTGGGGTGGAACCGTGAATGGTTTCGATGGAGGCATTGGGAGGAGGGGCGGTGACCACTGACTTTACGCTGGGGTATTCCCTTTGCCCGTCGTACATCTTCTCCGAGTAATAACCCGGCTTCTCGTGTTCTTGTTAACGGTGTCCAGGCGCCTTGTTGGAACAGGTAATGGGAGGTGGATGAATCAAGTCAAGCGCCAAAATGGACGGGAGGAGGGGGTTTCTAGGGACGTGAACTGTTTCCGACCGTTGGTGACCTTCATTGATTAGGTGAAAGAATAAGCCCGATGTGGTGTAGGCTCTGGAAGGGAGCAGATATAAAGGAATGAGATGTCGATGATCATGAAGGATGATGTTAACGCGCACTGGTTCGATTACGTGTCGCGTTGCAGTTGATGAGGGAGGCATAGTGTTCAGGATGAAATCAGCCTAAGGTTGAACGTTGAGATTGTAACGCTTGTAACGCTTGTAACGCTTGTAACGCTTGTAACGCTTGTAACGCTTGTAATGCTTGTAACGCAAGCGTTGGCCGTGTCGACGAGAAAAAGAGATAGACGTACATTAAACCTCAGTACACAGTCCGTGGACCCATTCCTAGACGATTCCTGCTCCAGTTCCATACACCATGTCGTGGGCGTTGATGAGAAAGAGGCAGAGCCAGTGTAAACTACCACAACGACAAGATCAGTTTCAGAGACGACGAGAGACCCGAGATAGGATACATATGTTATGCGTCTAACAAAATCCTGATACTGCAAGCTCTCTTCGCTGAGCTGAGAACCTAGAGGAGCGACAGATGAAGGAGCAGAGCAAAAACGTGTTTGTCACACGCGTCACAATGAGTTTGATCGGCCGAGGGGTTAACGTTTTAACTCCGCCAGGGCCAAGCAAAAAGATTGGCTAGGAACCTTCGAATCTCCCTGGCTGGGAGTCGAACCCAGCTTTCGCGCGCCAATATTAGAATTATTAATGACAGGCGCGTGTACTAACCGATATACTACCAGGGAAGGTGATCACTTCACTCTCCATCTCCCCTCAGCTCGAACGATTGATCTCAGTTCTCACGTTCATATAGTTCACATCGAAGCTGTTCCTTCTTTCGCTTCCATCACCTTCCTCGCTCTCCTGTTCCCTATCGCTTCCCTACATGCATAAATCCCTTCCGCAACATCGTTAAAGACAAAGCTCATTATGATTTAGGACTTCTCCACGGAGCTCACCGTGATTTCTGAAATGCCAAGTTTCCTCGTTGAAATCCAATCCAGACAAAATCACCGCCAAAAAAATCACCTTACAGTCGTATGACCCCCCTGTCTGGGAATCGAACCCAGCTTTCACGCGAACGATTTGATGACACGCGCGTATACTAACCGATCCACCATCAGGGAAGTTCCTGTTGTTTCGATCCTCCCACGTAAGTGCCAATTCTTGATCTCAGTTCGCATGCACGTATATTAGTGTTCTGTTCTTATTCCTTCCATCACCTCGCCCGGCCCTCGTGTATTCCATCGCACCTTCACGCCCACAGGTTCCTTTTGCCCCGGAGCTACCCTTACCCCGACTACTCCCTATTCTAACCTTCCAGTTTCCATTTCCAGTTGAGATCTTATGTATGGGAACACCTCTTCATGTTATACTACTTCCTTGAATCCCGGAAAAGATCGGTATCAAGAAATTCATTTACAACGAGCCCATACGTATATTCCAAAAACAATGCGTCGAGGATTCTATTGGCCGCGGATCTCTTTCATGTCTGAATGTCTAGATTCAAATATTCACATCTCGTGAAGATCAACGGTGAGTTCGCAACCTTATCTATGGGTTTCTTCCTTTATCAACGTGGCGCAGGTACCATCACAACCAGAAGCGATAAGAAACTGAAAATCAAAATGGCTTTCGTGGGCAAGTAAAGTTCATGGACCACGGTTCAAGAGACCCCGCAGACTATCGTATTCCATATACCCTTGCACCACTCACAATCTTGTTCACTTGAGGACGAGACGCAAGCCTGAGATCTGGATAACGACGAGTGCTTTCACCTGCTGCACGGTGCGAAGAATTCACTTGCGAGCAATGGAAATGTTTGTGAGCTATCACTCTCAGCCCTCATAGCCCGCTTCCGCGTTACTTCTCATGCAAATCGCATTCACACCAAGACACCAGGGAAAGGGATACTTCATCTTGAAATCTTGTATACACAGAGTTGATATTCCGTTCACCCCGTCGCTAACAAAATGGTACCGTTAATGGATGAGATCGTAAGGAACATAGCTAGATGCGAGATCTGGCGAAGGTGTGATGTGCAATGGTAATTTACAAGGGGTCAAAGGGGTTGAATAAGCAGAGAAAGTTGAATTGACGGATATCTATACCAGTCAATGAAGGTTAAACGTTAGAACCTCATAATTGCCATTATATATGTTCCAACCAGGGAAAACTTCAGAGTGGGAGATGGAAGCCATATGTTTCAACTAGTAGATCGGATACACAGGGCGAAAAGATGATTACAAGATGTGCTCAGGAACGGCGGTATACGATGATAGCCTGGGGATCGTGGCAGTAGCAGGGCACTGGCAACAATAACACCCGAGCCCGTGATTTGAGGGTAGTAGAAGATAGAGCCTCCCTTGTATAGTATGAAAGGACAACAGAACGAGAGATGTGGTTAGTAAAAGGTAGCGTGATGTTGACGCGTCCTTAGTAACTCGAAGTGAAACCAGCTAAACGACTCACAAACAAGAGGTAAACACACTTATCGTGGGTAGACCCAAATGTTGGTGACTATTCATGCGGAAACAGGAAGTAGTAGGGGGTGATCAATGAAGTATCTTCCCGAAAAGGTAGGGAGCGCTCAGGTCCGCAAACGTTAGCCGTGTCGACGAATAAAGAGGAGACAAACGTTCTTGAATTGGGATCTGTAGACCTGTACCTAAGCATTTTGATCCAAGTTGACGCTTCAGTTTATACATCGTGTCTTGGTCGCATTGGCGATGGAGAACCCATCGCAACGACAACATCAGTATCAGAGACGACGAGAAACGTAGAATACATACCTCATACTTATCTCCACCTAGCCATGATCTGTGTTTCCAACAAATCTTCAAAGCTTCTTACCGCATCCTCTCGTCTACGAGCTCAGAATCTTGTTCGATAGAAACGACAGATGGAGAAGCAGAACAAAACGTGTTTTGTCACACACTCTGACTAAGTATGCCCTGTTGGCGATTTCGGAGTTCACGTCTAATCAGATGTGAACTCCGAAATCGCCTCGACCAAAAAGTTAGGGGTATACTTCCTGGTTACCCAGCTCTCGCGTGCACACCAACAAATCTTGCGATGACGGGCAAGTGTATCAAGCAATATACTCCCAGGTAGTTTATCCCAGGGGTTTTCATACGTTCTCAGTACAAATAACTGATCTGTTCTCAAGGACATGTAGTCCACGTGTCTTCAATAGCGCCTCTACACGTTCGGGAATCGCCGCAAAGAAAATTACTGTATGCGAAGAGTCAAGTAGTACATACATCTCCCTGGCTGGGAGATTAAAACCTAAGCTTCGTGCGTCCGTGCCATGACGGGCGCGTATAACTGATATGCTACCAGTACTTATAGAATTCGCCTTTGCAGAGTCATTTGTTGAATTTTCCTCAAGTTTGATTATTTATCATGCGGCGCTGCATCAACCTCAACAACCATCGCGATAAGTCTAGCGAATCAAGATATCTATGAAGTATCAAAAGCATCAGCAGAGACGACAGATGGGAACAACATGGGAATCTGTTCTGCATTCTAAACTTGCATGCTATCTAGATATCCATGCTAACATCCGGAGACTGGCTCATTTCACTTCGCACGGATGTTGACCTCGACACCTCAATCCAAGACATTGAGGTGGAACTTTGAAGCCTGCGTCTCAATAAGTATCAATCAACTACAAAATGCATCACCTGGGCAATGGAGTTCCCAAATCAATAATCATGGAAACCGGCTTCCTGTGAGACAACTGCCTGCCACATAAGTGGGAGTCATGGCCCAGGATTACAGACTACAATCCCCCATCATTTTTCTGCTCCAGTGTACACAAGACGGGGAAACATTTTGTGCGTTCTTCCCTTCATTACTCTTCCTCAACTTTAACTCAACTCCCTCGAACAAAGAGATCAGGATTGTGGAGCATAAGGCACTCTAACTCACTATTAACCCTCTGAGATGTCGAGCAGTCAGGAGGTTACCCTGATTGCGGATTTAGACAACAGCAGCGCGTTATTCACTAGCGAATGGCAGTTCGTGGAAGACCCAGCTTATTATGGCGGAACGGCTGCCTTTTCGAATAGGAGTCGAATAGTAGAGTCTTTGGAGATGAGGATGTCGTTTCGCGGTGCGTCTTGTGCTGATAATGGCCATGGTCTCACTTTAATTTACCCTCCACAAGGGACATCCATTTCATTCTACGGAATCGGAAGCGATTCGGGATGCTGGGTGACATTAGATCGCAACAATCCAGCATCATGCTTGGGACCAGATTACAAATGGGCCATCTGGTATCAATCGCCATCACTCCCTGATGAAGAACACAATATTGTGGTGACACACAACTCTGAGTTTATGTACATCGACTATGCGCTTGTCAAAGCTGGAAGCACCACCGACTTGTCTGGGAAAACCATCTTCGTTGATAATGCCAGAGCAGAAGAAATTTGGTATACTGGACAATGGTTGTCCAGCCTGGACCCCGAATTTTCTAGTGCACTTCAGGACTACAGGATTTGGGATGCTGCGGCCCGTACTGCTACTCAAAGTAACACGATTGGTGATTCCTTTGAGTTTCAATTTTCAGGTTAATTATTTATCGGCTATGCTGTCACGATCTCAGTTTGATCTCAGTTCATCCGACAGGGACTTCAATATCTGTTTATGGAATCCTACTTCCGGCACAGACCGTTACCCTGGAATTTATTGTGGATGGTACCGTTCAACGCAGGGAATTTTCTAAGGAAGATGCACCCGAATACGACGTCGCTATGAATTATAAGTTCTATGAGAATATGACACTCAGTGCAGGAAATCATTTTCTCATAGTCAATGTTTCAAACATTCTTGAAGGCTCCACCTTCTGGTTCGACTATATCACTTACACGCCATCCTTCTCATTCGTTAACGAGAGGCCAACCTTTATCCGGGGTTCATCAACAGTGTCACCGAAATCACTCCCCATTGGAGCAATTGTCGGGATCATAATTGCTGGTCTTTTGATGGTGACTTGCGTCGGGGTGTTTTACTATGTTAGAACAAGGAGATCTGCATCGGTGAAGGAAGGTGAGTACCTTTTGTAGTGAGTCCCCTCATATTTCAATCAAAATACGTTACCTTAGGGGAGATCGCCTCTCGTCTTGAGCCTTTCACGATACGTGCCGGAGCGGATTCAAAGTCAAGACCGACCAAGTGGAGAGAGTTCCTCTCGTTCGAGGAGATACCCAGCTTACCCGCATTGATGGATGAACAGAGTACCCATCCTGAACCGCTGCGCATACAGGTCGAGGTTAAACAACGAAACTACGAGATAGCCTCACTCACAGCTGAAATGCAAAACTCGGACAACCCTACTCGCGGTGAGCTGTTCGCCAGAATCAACATGCTCACAATGGAGGTCGAAAGGCTAGTGCGTGAGAACGCACCGCCGGAGTATGCGGGAAGTGATGGTGGTCAGAGGCCGAGTTCACGCTCGGGAACACTCCCATCTTACGATGATGGGGCATAGGTTCATCCGTGACATACTAAGCAAGGACTGACACAGGTAGGTTCGAATCCAGCCAATTGGCATTTATTTGCTGATAGTCTAAATATAGCATTGGGAGATGAAAGCACTTCTGTTAGGATATAAAATGAAAGTACATCATTTTGTTCTTGAATATTTGGTCATGAAGATACGCACATGCGCCTGTATGTTCCTTTTACAATCTGCTTCTTTGCGGTAGAAAACTCCATTTCATCGAACACGCTGCAGCTA